GTTATTACTTTTGATTGTAAAAATTTATTCAACCTTCACCTGAGTGCCTGACAGCTGATGCCATCATTGTTAATTCCCTTTCTGCTCAAATCTTCCTCTGGTTTGGATAATGACTGATTTCTAATCAGGAAACGTTAAGTGAGGAGTCATCTGAAATTTAACCTAAAATCCGAGGCAAGAGTTGCATATCAGCAACTTAAGGGAGAGTTACTGAGTAGTTGTTACATTAATAAAATTTAAAGAAACAAGTTTTACAAGAACATGAGAATATGGATTACAAACAGTTCAGATATGATTCTTCATTCATTTAACTATTACAGTAAATAAGAGATAATGAAAAAAGATTCAATTAGCATTTAAATTCTAAAATAAATCCATTGATATTGACAGGGACATGAAATAGAAATTCAAGAAAAGCCATGGATTGAAAGGATTTGTGCATATTGGATTCCTAAAGGCAAAGAATTTTACACCATCCTTCAATTCCACAATAATGTAGATTTCTTTACAGTTTTAGAACAATACAGAAACAAGGGCAGAAATATTAAGTGAACCTGATCCAAAGTCCACTATAATAAACACACTCTGAATCCAGTCACAAGGCAAGGAAAAACAGTAATAAATACTTCGCTCTCTTTGCATGCTTTTTAAGCTCTTGTCCACCTCTGTCAAGAGAGACTTGTCTGCTCCTCTAAACCTGTACAGCACCAAGCACAGAAGGACCTATTCTCAATTAGTTTTTTAATACCACCATAATAAACATGAATATAATTATTAATGGGAATAATTTAGCAAGAAATGTTACAGAAACAAGGAGAGCTGTTTACCATTCAGCGTTGATTAAGGCTGTGCAAACAATTGCTTTTATCAGTTAGTTCCTGAACCAAAACATTAGAAGTGTAGTTTTGAAAGACTGGATTTTTTTGAAGGAAAGAAGGCATTTTCAGATGCCAAGAAGGTGGGTTTGGTATGAATGCAACATATTGTGTCATTGGAAAAAAAATCCTAAGCTTTTTTTTAACAAACGGATGATACCAGACCTGATGTTTAACCCAATGTAACCCAATGATTATCTGGGTTCTCCCTCCTCCATCAGATTCAGAAAAAGCATTTGAAGGACATCTCTCAGGTCCACGAAATGTTCAGAGTATGAGTACACCGAACCAGCATTTTCTAGCATGCAGGTGACTACGTTTGACAAATGGATCCAGTCTGACTTGTCATGAAAGACCCAACCCTTGTACCTACAGAGCAGAGCTTTGCAACCTTTCAGGGTGCAAGAGCAAGATGGCAACTTCTTGGGGATTCTTTGGGGTTCAGGTGTGCTCCCTGTCACCTTGTGGCGTGACAGAAAGCCTTCCTGGTTACCACCAGTCAGAAAAACACTTCTTATCTCCTGGTCAGCCATTCCATGCAGTTTCTGGCAGTACACATCATGCCACTCTCCAGATATCCTAGCTGGCTGTCTGCTAAGGTGCCCATTACAATGATTTATGGACTCCCCACCTCCTTTGGTAAAAATCACTTTTGTAAAAATATAATTTCTTTTCTCTTGGGTACAGGACAAGTCACAATGGCCTTTACTCTTAAGGGATCAGGAATTAACTACCATTCTCCACTCTGCTGACCTGCTAGTCACATTTTACCTTTGTGAGCTGGCTCTGTGTCTTTGGTAAGGTTTTTTGAATTTAACCAAGAAAATAAAAAAACAGAGTAGCTGCTTTTGTAAAACTCCCCTGATATCTGCAGGGTCAGAGAAGTTTAACTCATAATATGAGTTCATACCCCCTAAAAAGTTTCCTTCTGAAAACATGGGGGGGGGGGGTGTGGCAGAATATTAATTTTCCTGGGAATTTACACCATCTCCCCATGTTATAGACTTGTAACATATTAATACACACAACTTATGCTATAGCTTAATTATACAGGTTTTAGAAATTTTTAACATATATAACTTTTTCAATGACCTAAGATAGTCACTCCCAATATTTTTGTGACACGGAGTTAAACAAAGATGAAGAGTCCACCATTAAATTTCATTGTACCAAATCCCTTATGGATTTAACATTGCCGTGGGATGTCTCTGCATACTCAGTGGCAGGTTTCCTCTTCTAGTTAAGTGTTGCCTTCCTGGGCACCTGTAAAGATAGCTGACTGATTTTTAACCTTTCTCCAAGATGTAAAGTTAAACAGGGCAAATATATTTTACTGAGATAAAGTCACTGCCAGCAAAAAAGTGGATACCACTGTTAGTCAGTTGCCACCACCTCAATTAATATCTACAATATGAATGTCAGAGTTCTGTTAAACCTTTCCAGTGCTTATTTGTTTCTAGTTTATAAAGGGCAGATGATAGATGCTTTAATACAGATACTTTACTCTTCAAATAATACAATCACTTCATGTCTTTAGGAATTGCTTCTCTCAGGAACACTTATGGACTGAAAGCAGCAAACATGGCTTGAGCAACTGCTTATGTTCTGAGCTAGATAAGCAATTACTTCTGAGTACCAGATAATGAAGCCAAACACTGCAAACATTTTTTTTCTTCAGCTTATATCTGATGTGGAAACTGATCCACACTTTCCACCACAAAAATCTCTTTATGGAGACTGTTTTTTGATCACAGGGAGGGGTTGATCATTATTAGCTTTGCAAGAATGATCCACCCTTTTCCAGTTAGCATATAGAGCACAGAATCAGTAGTAGTCCCTTGCTTTATCCTGCCTCCAGGAACACAGCTTTTATAGGGGTTTTCATGGGATGTCTTCAAGTCCAGAGGTCTCAAAAGGGCAGTCATGCATTAACAGCTTGGGGCCACTTACTGTCTAGCAGTCTCCTTGGAACCCACTGAGGGTTTTATTTTTTTCCCTGACCTATCTCTGCAGAATTCCCTTTCCTTTGAGGATTTTTTTCCAAGAAATACAGGATAGCCCTCCAGGGCAAGGCTTTCAAGCTGACTAGTGATAGTTGGTTTCCTTTTTTTGAAACAACCTGAGTGATATTTGTTAGTTTAGAAGACTGTGGTTTTCAGCAAGACAAACCCTTCAGACCAATCCATACATCATCATTACCTCTTCTTTTAGTTCCAGAAAATGAATCAATCTGTTCACATGAGTTGAGTAACAACACAAAAGTGAGTGAACAGAGTCATACCTATGCCCTCAGTTTGGAAAATTTCCTTTGCCCTTTTCAATGAAGATTTAAACTACTGAGGAAATGAGAGAACAAGAGGAAGAAAAGGTTACTATATTTTACTTGTGTGACTGCCTTGACTGTCTCAGACAATAGATACAGATAGATATAGATAGGTACAGATAGATAAATTGACAGATCTAGCAAAGCAACAAAAGAATTGACTATAAATTTTTGATAATCAAGCAGAACAATCCCAAAACACCTTTTTATTTACCATTACTATTGCTTTTGTTAGTTCCTGAGAGGCAACATCTCAAAAAGTATACAATACAATTCATAAGGAGAAAGACAAGGCAAACAAAAAATTGTAGCATGGTGGACACTTTTTTGTACAGTACTGGTTACCTTTATGCATGCAGTTGCTCAGCAGTAAGTGCTACTCAAAGTGATAAGCTCATTATACCATTTTATATATTCATATCTTTACCACTTCTTTTTCTGAAGCTCAGAAGTTTTTCACAACCCAACAGCTTGTTTGAGTAGCATTTTATTGCTGAGGAAAGGGTCATGCAATGAGTAAATAGTGTCATTCTCCAAGTATTTACTCACTTTTCACTTTACAAGCCTTTGTACAGCATGTAACTGCCTCTGGCCTGAGGAGAACTCCCAGCAGAATCAGATTTTTTTTTCTTTGATTCCTGAACATAGAGGATTTGGACTCCAGAGCCTGGATTATAAAGCAGGCTCTGCTATAGCAGATCACAACAGCCTCCCAGGAGCCATCTGGTAGAGTCCAGGCAGTCCTATGGCTGAGATTTCCAAAAGTGTGCAGCCCCAGCTTACTCCATGGGTTCAGCTCCCTGAGACCCCATTGAAAATCCCAGCCACTGCTGTAAGCCCTGAGCTAAGAAGCAGACCCATCTGCCTGTGCAGAAACAGTGTCCAGGAGACAGCACATACTGTTACAACACTTAAAAAAAAAAAGCAAAATTATGCTGAAAGAGAATCAGTAAGAAGCTTCTCATAAGGAATTAAGAGAGGTTGTAAAATCACTCACTAAGCAAAAATCAGGAGACTGGACTACATTTCTGATAAACCCTGTGATGTCCACATTGGCCTCCCAGAGGAGGGAGACATCAGTGCCTCATGGGTCCTGGAGTTCATCCAGAATGGGGAAGCAGGGAATTTGGACTGCAGTTCCAAACACCTATCATGGCTGTGTAGAAGCTGAAAAATGTTGAAATTATTTTGAATTATTTTAGACTTTTTCAAAATTGTCCCATGTTATCCCTCCTGAGGACATGACCTGAATTTTTGCATGGTGATTGTCTCAAGGAAATGTGGGTTCTGGCTGCAATCACAAATGCATTTCACAGATTAACTCACATAAGATATTTTATGTTTGCTTTATGCACCTAATTTGCCTTAATTTTCACATTGTTGTTTAGCTCAATTAAAGGTAAATGCAACCCCACAATGTGTCTTCTGTTCAGTTTTGGATCAGAATATTGTAAAATCAGAATTAAAAACAATTAAAAACAGTCATCATTCAGTAGAGTTGCACAGACTTCCATACCACAGTTTAGCAAAGGGTTCCATTTTATGGTCTAATAAATTGTATAAAAGGGAGCTGCAGAATATACACAGAAATCCCTGTCATTTGCTTCCCTGTTTCACTGCCCCCCTACCCTTTTGACTAATTTCTTGTAGCATAACTAAGCAATCTTTTTTCCTTCCCTTTGCAGATATACCCAGACCTTCCACAGCCAAACAGAACAGATAAAACATTTTTTAGGCTGGCTCCAGAAGACCCATTATCTGTTTGACTATCACCTTTTTGGATAAATATTTGGGGGTTCAGGATGAATAAGACAAGGGCTGTTAATGATGGTTTTCCTTTCCTGAACAGTAAGAACTGGAGCTCAAACCGAAGCTTCCCCGTGTACATTTCCAATCAGTGCAGGAACATCACTGACCTTACTGTCTTTCTGGCCACCTCTTACAGCTTGGAGACTGTCCTAGGCATTGTGGGAAACATCTGTCTGATTGCTGTCATCGCCAGGCAGAAGGAAAAGGCCAACGTCACCAATATCCTAATTTCCAACTTAATAATTTCAGATATGTTTATGTGTCTTGTCTGTCTGCCTTTCACCATTGTTTACACCATGATGGACTATTGGATATTTGGGGAAGTCATGTGCAAAATGACCTCTTTCACTCAGTGCACATCTGTGACAGTGTCAATCCTTTCCCTTGTCCTTATTGCTCTGGAAAGACACCAGCTCATCATAAACCCAACTGGCTGGAGGCCAAATATCTCCCAAGCCTATCTAGGAATCGGAGTAATTTGGACTTTAGCATGTCTCATGTCCCTGCCATTCTTGACTACATCCATCTTGTCTAATGATTTGTATGAGCAGCTCTCACACATCATGAATTTCTCCACTGACAAGGTCATATGCATTGACTCGTGGCCTTCTGAGCAACACAGACTTATCTACACTACCACTTTACTGCTCTTGCAATATTGCATCCCACTGTTCTTCATTATACTTTGCTACCTGCGTATCTACTTACGTCTACAGAAGAGAAGGGACATGTTTGAGAAGAACGAATACAGCAACCGAGCAGTTCAGCTGAGAAGGATAAATATTTTGTTAGCATCCATGGTTGCTGCTTTTGCTGTTTGCTGGCTACCACTGCATGTTTTCAACACCATTGTGGACTGGAATTACAAAATCATTTCACCTTGCCACCACAATCTGATCTTCTCATTGTGCCACCTCCTAGCTATGGCTTCCACCTGTGTCAACCCTGTTATCTATGGTTTCCTAAACAGCAACTTCAAAAAAGAAGTGAAGTCACTGATTCTGAGCTGCCAGCATAATTCAGTAACTGCATCAATGGAAGAATATGATCATTTGCCTTTATCCACCATGCAGACTGAAATCTCTAAGGGCTCACTGATGTTGAACTGCAGACATAATTCTATCTAGCTGGTAGAAAACATTTCAGAGGTGTGCACTGACACCACATGCCTATTATTACCTGTAGGTATAAAAAACAACTGGTGATGCCATAGCTGGGATGTCAACAGGTACCCACTACTGCCTGATTTTTGGAAGAACAGGCAAAGGAAGGTCATAAATGTATACAGTAGCTCCTATGATACACATGTCATTGAGATGGTACACACATTGAGGAGTCTGGGCTGATGTATACATGGCTGCTCTAACAGATCAGACACTAAGCTGTGGCTGCACATAGGCTGACATGCAGTTCATCAGCTAAGCTCACATCTCTACCATGGCTGCGATAGAAACCCAGACTTCCAGTTTCGGCACTGCAGGCTGCCAACAGTTGCATTAGAGAAGACTCTCTCAGTTTTTCAGTATTAGTAAGATTTTTATGCACAGCTGACACACCAGTGGAACAGAGATATGTAAATATATACATTTTTGTGCTTTACCAACTCTCGCTGCCCATTAGGTAACAGTAATCTTTCAGCAGATCTAGTTCACATCAAACAACTGGATGTTTGTATGAAAGTTCTCTGTCATATAGGCTTGTGAATAGCTATTGCCTCTGTAATTAGAGACACAGAACAATGACCCCAGTATGTAAAGACAGTTACTTACTGAGTGATGGTGGGAAATGAAAATGTTACTCCGTGGATTAAATTCTTAAAACACATTGAGAGGATGCTGAGCACTATTTTTAAGCAAATGAAACACGGTTGTAAATTGTCACGAATGCAGGTTTGTGAATTTCCTACATGGAAATGAGTTTCCTGACTTTGCAATTCCTGTTGCTGTCAGTCACAAAGCTCTGCAATGCTGAAACTTAATGCCCTGATAGTACAAGGCAGATGGATTACTGGAGTTGTTCCAGGTCTTGGTAGCAAGATGTCACTCCTGCTTCAGCAGATCCCTGGTACTTTGTTTGCAAAGTATCTCATTCAGAAGGTTAGAACGGGCATGAAAACATGTTTGTAGAAAGTGTGTCTTTTCAGAGTGGGTATGCTCCCAAAGAAATAAGCATATGCATGGAGGCTTTCAGTTTCCTGTTAAAATAAAACCATTCCCACTTGCTGGCACCAGCAACAGAGATGGAGCTGAAATTCCAACTAATCGGTAGAAGGTCAATGAAAGTACACAAGTGGAATTAGGTCAGTTTGAAGCCAAGCTACATGTAAATAGGTAGTATTGTCAATTGCTCTACTAAAGTGAGGGTCATGCTTTTTCACATCTGTGGTATTTTTAATCTTTGCCCACAAAACCTACAAACCATAAACTCATTTTAACATCTGGAGCCAGAGACATTGCTCAGTGAATACTGAGAAACCAAGTAAGTATGCCCAAGAAGCCCGTCCTGAGAAACAGATTAAAAAAAAAAAAGGCAGCAAGTGTAAAAAGGAGACCAACTAGGTCAATGCTAAAGAAATAAGGAAGCATATTCTGTCCTGAGTTGTTAAACTAACCTTAGCAGAAGACTGGACTAGGTGACCACCTTAGGTAATTTCCAACCTGAATTATGCTATGATAAGCAGTTGTTACTCATTGTACTCAATGGGTCTGCATTGAGTTGGAGCTATCCAATGTATAGTTATGCAGACAGCTACAAATTCTTTAGCTGGAAGTTGTCCGATTAGACAAATTGGTAAATAGTTAGGGGAGGAAAAATTTCTTCCCGTGCTGTGGTCTGACAGGCAATATGGATGTTGGACAGAGTATCTGAAGACAAGAGCAAAACCTTATGCTGTAAGGTAGCTAGAACTATCAACAAGTATGATATCATATCCTCAGCTGACAGAAATGGGAGTTAATCCCTTGCCATGAGCTGGATGCACAGAAATTGGTGGCAAAGCTTCAAATTTGAACTTGAATTCTTGTGTACAGAGTCTTAAGGCAGAAGCCGTTTTCATGCAGTCACCCTTCTAATTCTGGGCAGAACCTGTATATCTCAGTAAGAGTTCATGTGTGAGTACCTTTTGCATCTTCATCAATTATCTGGCAAGACATTTTTGCTTCTTTCAAGTGGACTTCTGCTTTCTTTTTTTCTTTGTTACTTGCCACAGTATGATGAGAAGTTGTTTCTCTTGATTTGTTTGTATGCAATGTCATTTCTAGACTAGGCATTGAGTCTACAGAAACACAGAACAAGAGGACTCTCATTTTATTTTATATGCAGCTTGAAATTTGCTACTGTAGCCAAAACCAGAGCTGATACAACCATGTGATGCCGAGTAGTACAAAATACAGTAACTCTGCCTCATCAGCTTGATTTATACCAAACCTGTGTTGTATTATTTGAGGGCTTAAATACTGCTTCAACTTTGTAATGTTTTTGTATTTAGGATCAATTTCATCTAACTAGCCTTGAGTAATTCTGCCTGTTTCCTGCACTTGTTATAATTCCAACATTTAGTTAACTAAGATGCATGTCAAGCTACCGTAGGAATACTCTGTTAAGCATGAACATAGAAGATTACCTGAAGAAGATTATCTGATTTATGATCTTAAGTATACAACTTTCCAAGCACCAATATCCTAAATGGAAACACAATTACCTTTAGAATTTGTACTTCCATGAACATGTCTTTGTCACTAGTTCTAAGTGAAAACTTCTGGTAGAGCACTTACAGTGTGTCAGAGGCCTGCCACCAGAGCTATGCATTTCCATTGTGCATCAGGTCCCAGTTCTTCCTGCAAAGGGCAGAAATATCAGTGGGGTCTGACTGTTTGTTTAAATAATTCATGTGGCCATTTGTATCCATGATCACAAGTAAATATGTAAAACAAGCAGATCCGACTTTACAGTAATCCAGACACAAACAGATGTACCTTCCTGTAGTGATTAAGGGAAGTGTCAACTTTGGAGTCAACTACTGTTTATTGCTAACAGACTTTGGACTGGATAAACTAAAGTATTTAAACACTAAAAGCCACCAAACCGCACCCATACATCTAACTGCAAAAATGCAGATCCTCAAAACTCCCAACCAGCTGCTGCCTATCCGTCTACTTACGTACCATCCTGAGGTGCATGTTTTTCAGCCTCTAAAATTCCCTAGGTAACTAAATAAACTTTAGAGTAAATGCAGAAAAATACATCTAAGTTCCAAAAGACTAAATAACTAGGCCATGTGTAAGCCCTGTCTTTACATACCCACTAGGCATCCTCCTGGCACAAATAGCCGTAACAGGAAAGGTGCCTTTATCACCACTTCTTCATTCTGTGTGGACATCAAAGCTTATGCAGCTGTGCACAAATGCAGTAGAGGATATTATACTGCTAATTTTTAAGAACTGTTCTAGCAACTGTTCCTTTTGAAGGCAAAGGCACAAGGCCAGATGCAATTATGCCTGCATGGTTGAAAGAGCCATTTTATTTGTCACTTTGAGGCTTTAAACGCAACCACAGGGGGCTATGCCTCTTTGGACCCAGCTAAGGGTAACAGAACAGAAAGAGCTTACATACATCTTACCCATTTGTAAATAACAAATAAGGTTCATATCTAAGAAGGATCAAGCATTTTTGCATTCATTATGTACACTGATGCTTTTAAGTATACTCTTTACAAAGTTCTGTTACTGACCTACAAAGGCAACTTTGGGGAAGCATGCAGGAGTGCAAATCATGAGTTCATACAATTCTAAGACCTTACCCAGCTTTTTTTTGTTTAAGCCTTTTATCATCCTGCCTCGTGACATGTTGTAAGAAGATAGTAAGGCTTTCAGAGCAAGAAAACAACTTATTGCTGTGATATAAGTGCTATGGGGACTCTAAAAGTAACAAATAAAATACTGCCTGTGTTACTTCACTTCTCTAACTGCTTCTTTAAAATGGCATAATACTATCCATATTGTAAAGTACATAAGATTTAGTTCAACTAGTGTTTATCAAGAGAAAACAAGTTATACTGTATGATAAGAACCATTGATATATGAAGGATTAATAACTTGATGCATTATTCCTAAGGACAGACAGTGGTGCAGCACAGCCAACTGAGGAGGAGAGGACAGGCTAAGCATCAAAAATTCAACGTGGGACATCAGAATATTCTGATGCTAAGACTCAGCTCATCTTTACAGGCTTCCCAGATTGCACAGGAAACTGGATCCTACATGGCATACTGTCCTGAACCCTGACCAGAACCCCAAACAGAAAGTAACTGAGACTCCCAAGACAAAAAGCGATGTGGGACAGTTATCAAAATTTTACTGAACCTCATAAATGCTTTGACTGGGTTAAAAGAATTGGTTAATTTCTCTGACCTGGGTTATCTGCCTCGACAGAAAGTAAACCAAGGTACTAGAGATGACCATAGGTTGTGTTGTAACCAGGTTATGTTTATTACATTTACACACACAAGGAAAGA